CTGCAAAATCCATCAGCCCCAAGCTACCAGGAACAATTTTATTAGCAAGCTGCATAATCTCAACCTCAACCATGAGTAACTTGATATATTCAAATATGCAGTTCCCAGCCATATTAGCTGGTTACTTACTGGCAGGAGTAGGGGAGCAAGGGATTTAAAGTGACAGGGAGATGCCATTCAAAAATATTTTAACTGAGCTTGCAATTCATGATTTTGGGTACCGGCTAATTCCACGTGTTTAAGTTAAAAGTTAACACCATTTCTGATTTTCCACAAAAATATAATCCTAGAGTTTGGCTATTGTGTTTTATTCAGAGCATGTCGAAACAAAGGAAATCACTGTGAAACTACTAAAGATAATTAAACACGCTTTCAAGAACACAACACACAGTAAAGCAAATTAAGATTTCTCTTCACCATGCACTATCTATAATTTTGATGGCATTGAAAATAGCGGATGCTGACTAAGGTCCTTTAAGAAAACCAGAGTTGTGTATCTGACCTAATTTACAATCAGTTCCCACAACAGACACTATGATCATGAGGTCACGATTCTATTGTGAGATAGTTGACGAGGGCATACCTGAGTCAACTATCAAGCATAGAACGAATAATCTAATATAGTGCAAATCTACTGGTCATTCTAAACTTTCTCTAAATCTTACCCACAGACACTTCAACAAGTTACACAGAAGTGGCTGTAACAACTGTATACTGCTATGCTACTCGCTCTCTACTTAACAATTAAATTATGAGCTTGAGATTTCCATCAAATGATAGTTGATGAGGGCGCAGCCCGAATAATCTTATTGTTTTAGTATAAGTCCACTAGTTGTCCAAAATTTTAGCTAAATCCTCTTCACAGACACCTCAAAAACGCAAAGCAGACGCCAGTTCGTTAACTATCTACAACAGGATAGAAAGTGAGTGGCATAGCCAATGAGAGAGCGACATTCGTGATAGAACACTAGTAAATTTATACTAAAACAGAACAGATAGTGAGTGAGTAGTGCAACCAACAAGAAAACAGCATTCTTTAATTAACTTTGTTTAACATGCGTTTTGGTTCCATGTTTATCACCGCGGTTTGTGTTTTGTTTCTTCTACACCTAGCCAGTTCTCAAGAGAGAACGAATATTTCCAATCAAAATAATAATAGGTTTAAAAATCTCAGCTGACGGTAGGCAGAACAATTGGCTCTTGACAAGTCCAGCATGACCGAGGAGTTGAACGAGGGTCTACCAAGAAACAGCTCCAGCTTAGTGGTCAGAACGGGACTTGAATCTGTGACCTCCAGATTTCAAGTCCGGCGGCTAAACCACTTGGCCAGGCTCCGCTCCACTTGCTGGCCAATAAAGCCAATGTAAATGATAGTTTCACCCGGTGAATATACCTGAGCGCACCACAGTTTGTTCAAAGGGAGCAACTGGAGACGCGCGAGAGAGAGAGACGCGCGCGAGAGGGTCGCGCGTGCTGTGCGCAATGCTTGGAGCAAGTTTGTATACTTGCAACTTCATTTGGGATTGACGAACGAAATCGTAACGTTATCACGTGTGATCACGGAAAGTTTGATGGCACGTGACAACTGCGTGGAAAGTTTGCGGGACATTTTAACCAAATAGGGAGTGCACGGAAAATTTGGCCGGCAAAATAATGGGTGGGTCTGTAAAAGAAGTTCCGGAAGCAAACAAATGGTAACGGTTTATGCGATAAGAAACCTAATTTAATCACTTATTGGGAGGGAAGACCTTAACAAACGTGCTAGAATGCGGTCGAAACATTTCACACATAATGGTTCGCAAACAAAGGTTTAGTTACCCTGGTTACAAAGAGCAGAAGAGTCTTAAAAGCTTCTAGTAATGTCAACAGAAATGCTAAAAGAAGCTGAAGAACAAATAGAAAGGAGAGAAGGCAAGTCACAGATCTAGGTATGTAAACTTTGGCTGTTTTTGAATTAATCTTCGCATTGAAACAGTCTTTGATTAAAACGTGAGAGGGCAATAAACGACAAGATTATTTCGCCTGTTGAAGCTGTCACTTCGCCGAGCGTGGAATTGTTTTTGTTTCAAGTTACACACTGAGTTGAGTCGCGAAAAGCGCAAGGATTTAATTATTTCCAAATCTATAAATACGCTGCCAGATTCAAAGTCAGTTAGGGGTTTTCAACTGCATGGAGACACAGAGGAGATATATACAAAGACAGGAGCTCTGTCCGTGAAATTACACCACTTTTTCACTTGGTTTTCATAAAACAGTCATAAATCGTATCAACAGCACAGCAAATAAATTAACTGAACAGAGTTTCAAGGCAAAGACTTGGCAGAACTCTTCCTTCGGAGGCTAGGAATTTTAAAACCTGAGTTGATTCTCGAAAGACGTTGTAACATTTGTTAAAGCTTCCTTTATTTTCGGCCTGTCTTAACCGCTGGGTTTTAAGAAGTTACCGGAATTTGGTCTGCATTCCTCAGTAGACGGTTTCATGTATTAAAATGCTCTAAAAGTCTGATTCGTGATGTACATTTGTGTACATTGGCAAAGAAACAATCCGCACCTTTTACTACATCGCTTTATACCAAAATTTATTTATGATCCTGTCGCCTTTACTTTCCAATGGCGATCGTTTCGGAATGAGAAGTGCCATGTCGAGTGGATCTTTTTCTAAATAAATTATAACACGAACCTTGGACAAATAGTGTCAAACCTATAACTCACTATCTCTCTCAAATCATGAGGTCTCGCTTTGAACAAACAATTAAACGACAGAACACGGATGTGAACTGAGTTACACTTCAAACCTACGTTTCTTTCCTTGACTGGTTGTAGGCTCCATTAGGGGCGGGCTGGGGGGTGGGGTGGGGGTCTGAGTATCCCACATCCCGTTAACTGAATTTTGGCCTAAATCCCGTATCCCTTTAATTCTAATTGAAAAAAACTAAACAATTCTCACTTTGTCTGCTCTATATCCCGTTTTATCTGATCTTAATATCCCATATCCAACTGCAACCCCCTCCATTAAATTTTGCCCAAAAATACCCTGTATTTCGTCAAGTTTTTACCTAAAATTCCCCGTACCCGAAAACCCCTAATAGAACCTCTGGTCGGGCAATCTAAGCGGGTAAGTTTCTGAACTCGTTGATTATTCAAACGAAAATTAAAGAAACTGTCGAGACATGACAAGACGTCAAAATTTAGAACTTTAGTTAGTAAGCTTGTAGCTTGAAACCTTCCGCATTCCTGTCCAGTGGTCCCATACTTTCTTTTCCTGAGGTTGCAAAAAGTGCGAAATAAAGGAGTAAAAATGGCCAGATTCATTACAGAGTCTTGAGATCTGTTTTGCTGGTTTTAATTTCTATATTCGTTGTTTGTGGGAGGTGAAAAAAGAAATTCACATGATGGCATTTATCATTGCTCAAAATATTTTTTGTTCATGCGCGATTGTATTCTTTGGCACTTGGCCCAACTATAAATGTGCTTCTTATTTATACAATCAAAACAAATGAAGGTTGTCACAGGCCTTAACAAATAACTTTTTTATAACCCTGTTTCATTACAGGTGCTAATCAAGATTCCATATTGGTGGAATGGCCTGGGAAAAGAAGTGAAACGAAAAGAAGACAAAAAGATGTCATCTTTTTAGTCCTAAAAGCTGTCTTTCTGTAACGGAGAAAACCGCGATCTGGGCAACTTATGATTTAAAAAAGATGTTGCCAATACGTGCACAGTTTATTAAAAATACAGTTTTCTATTATGAGAATTCACTTCAAGTTTTTTACAAGATAAAACAAGTCTAACCTCCGACCTTTCACGTGAAAAAAGGGTCGCGTTCAAGAGTATTGTTCAAACCCGTAACTTTGGAAACAGAAGTTGTTATCAAATTGGAATCTACTGCGTTGAATATTAGAGTAATTGGAGATGACAGCACAAGTCGTCGATATGGCATGTGAGCGAAGTAATTTTATCTTTCCTGTGTCCGGCTACACGCAGATTGTCAGACGGCGAACTCTTACGAAATGGACTAATGTTCATTTGGAGACTATTGGCTTGTCGGTCGAAGATGTGATCGATCTATTAGACAGCGCAACGGTGGCGAAACTTCTGTCAGTTTTGTCGGGAAGACACATAGCTGTGCCGATATTTCAACCTCAGCGAAAGAAACGTCAAGAGGTCGGCTGGAGGAATATTTTCAGTTTTCTAGCGAGCCAAGAATTCCCAGAGGAAGTCATAGGTAAGATTCTGTATGCTTTTAACGCTGCTAAATTGCGTGACGGGATCAAAAATTGCTGATGTTACTTCAGTAGATCGAAATAAACATCACATAGAGATCATATCATAGTAGATGAATATAGTTATTGCAACTGGTTTAAATGTTAATCAAAACAACAGATGATGGACTTATTTCAAATCGCCGGATTTTCTGTCTTGCTCTAAAATAACTTCATTGCTTTCGGACTCATAAAAGTCTTTCTGTCGTGAGAACAAACATTCGAAACAGAAATCATCAAGGATGTTGCTACAAAGGAATAGAGTTCAAAAAAGACGAGTTTCTTGGATAATGTTCTATTCCTTGTCTGATGATTACGTCATATTTATTAATGAATAGTTTCTATTCTAACGATCTTCAAACCGCACCCGATTATTATCTAAAAGTAAATAATCCTTGCACTTGTAATAAATATTTCTTGTATCTTCTAAATGCTTACCTGGGCCACACTACGGGAAGGAATTCATAATCACTTCGCCGCGCTGTAATCCGATTTCTAAATGCACGTCATACTTTAATAGAGCAATTAGCCTCCAAATTAACACACCTGGGTTACGGATATCAACATTTGCAAGTTTTTCAGTTTTAAAAAGAAACGACATATGATGGTGATTTATATTTTAGATTAAGCTTCAATACTCAATTAAGGTATTTCGCAAGCTCTTTCTGAGATCTTTCGAAAATATGTCCATCGCAGAATTACAGAATGGTTTAAGGTCAAAAGCGTTCTTGGTCAACATCCTTTGATATTTCTATGAGGTTTCCCGCAATTGCCACGCCACTCCTCAACGCAGCGCACGGGGGAGGTGTTGGGGGGCGGGGTGGGTGGGTGGGCAATTTCTGCTAAATACAGTGATGCAAGGGACCGCAAACGAAAGTGCTGCCGGTACACGTAGGATCTGTAAAAGATCTGATCAGCCAAAAATAGAAATATAACAATGAAGCAAGGTTGATTACTACATAGAAAACGACATGATAGACTCAACCTGTTCGAAATAGCAGTCCACGTTTGTCATTCTTGGCTTTCAGTTTGGACTCTATTATGCTTTCTACTTAGTAATGAGCCTTGCTTCATTTTAATTTTCTGGTGTATGATTTTTTTTTTTACTAACCTTTAGGTTGTCCATATTTTTTTGGCCGGCGATAGCTTGTGCAAGATTTTTTTCAAAATTCAAATTCAGGACCTGGATAATGGGCTGGAAAACACTTGCTCGATTTTGTTCCCATGGCTCCCCATTCAAGATCTTTTTTTTTTTTTCCAGCAGTTTTTCCTCTGCAGGAAATATTTTTGGGAACTGATTGCCCAATCGCCCCCCACCCCTCTAAAGAAATCATGATCCGCCCGTAAGTGAACTTGATTCGAAGACAGGTAATGTACCTCGCGACTTCCAACTTATAGCGCCATCTTTGCCGTCCCAACAAAACTGCGAGGGTCTGGGCTCGATCGTCGTCCAACTTGCGTTCCCAGGCTGCTCTGAAAATTACTGAGCGCGTCCAAGATAATTTTCATGTAGAGCTGGTTGTTATGGGAAAAAAATTCTTTCTGTGAAAGAAATTGCCATTTTTCTAGAAAGAATACAAAATATTTGAAGAGTTTTGCTGCCTGATTTCATTTTGATGTTGTATTGTTTTTTTGAGCCCTCAACGAAAAATAAGATTGAAATGTCCTGCTATTTAATGGTTAAATGCCGCACTAAGCCCACAAGGATTTTGTTGTCACATCCTCTCTGATCATATTGACTGTTAATTTATGAAACTTTTTTGGCAGCAGTGCGAAGTGTTTTCGACACAAGAAGCTATCTGAAATTATCATTATTATTTGAGCGTCGCTCCAGTCTGCCGTGGCAGACTACCTGTCAGCTGAAAGACGCTTATGGAAATTCTTCTTAGCATATGTATATTTGTTCTTTATGCAAATACTATAAAGCCCTTTGACGTCCGCATGACATGTGCTCAAGACTTTAAGACCGCATCGACATTTAGCCGATACAAACGTCTTTCGCTCCGTCGAACGACTCTTAATATGTTATAACATCACGGGGGAACTTCTACAGCATCTATAGAACGACACAAAGCTGCTCAGCTGGACCTTAACATTCAAAAAGTCTCCTTCTTCCTCTCTGGATCGATAAAAGCGTACAGAATTGCTGCATTTTGAGGTAATTTTTTTCCGTTTTCGTTACAGTTTATTGTTTTCTTTTGAATCAATCTGTGTCCCAGTTTAACATTTTATTTCATTCGGTCGAGCGACAAAAACCTTCAAGACGGCTTAGATTATCCATTGATGCGAGCAACCAATAATTTCTTTGACTTCTGTTATTTTTTCGCTCTAGCAAATAAGCTTACATTTCAAACAACACGACTGAAATATTATTTAAGATATCTAGAAATACCCATCTCGTTTTTTTTGGGCCAAGCTTACTTAGAACGAATGAAATTTAGTGCAGTTCATCTCGCTTTCTTAATAGCAAAAATGAATCAATAACAAACGAAAATTTCTATCCAGAACTACGAATAACAATAATTTACGTATACTGCTTGAAATACATGTATAAACGCATTGAACCGGTTCAAAAACACATTTGTACACGGCTACAATATTTCTGTTACTTGTACGACCCTTTTGGATACTCATATAAAGCGAAAAATCGTTTTTAAATTCTTTCTTTGGCACATTCGTTTTCACATCTGAAGCTTCGAGCCCAGACAGCTTTTTCTTAATTCATAATAGTTCGTGCTCGAGGCGCGGTTTTAGTAGAAAATAAAATTGCAAATCAACTCGAGCAATTTATGATTTCTTAATTTATATAAATTTAGCCGAAGGCAGCTTGCTGCCTTTCGTTGTATCGTCAGATTAGGATTTTTTAAATTCTCTTAACTCCAAGGGGAGTTGAAAATATATTCCTTTTCTTCTACGGTGCAGCTGAAATATTATTTATTTATATTCGTATTTGTTTTTGTATGTAAGTGGAGTATGCTAATGCAGGGGAATTTTCAAAACCCTGTTTCTAGTACTGGTAAAGAGATATTTTTCCCTTAAATTCTCCTATATATAAGGGTTAATTAAAAGCACTAACATTGAATAGCTGATGTTTTTGAGCTGAAATTAATACCACCAGGAATTTTTTATTATTCTACCTGTGGGCACAAGTTGCTTCTTTGTTTACGAAGTGTGCCCTGTATGAGAAAAACAAATTAGTATGGAGGGAAATATGGACAGTTGCCAGGCTTGAAACTTGGAGCAGGCGAAAAATTAAGGTGACAGCAATTTGGAGCTACATGTAAGAGATTCACAAATTAATTTAATTAAAAGTCAAGACGATATTGTTCGGAGGATATCGTTTTGTTTTCGATTCACTCTAAATGATCGTTGCCACACGCAGAGTTCGTGGTTACACATTAGACAAAATATATTTAATATTTGCATGCAGACACGAAACCAAAAATTGAAATGCTGCTTTTAAATGCTCTTTATATTTTATGTGTTGTAAATCTATTGCTTTGGTTCGAATGAAACCCTTCAAGTTATATAAGGGAGGTATGAAGGACAACAAGACATATTTCAGTAATTTCTAGCAGTCTTTGAATGGCTTTCTTAGCAGGTACCTGCCTCTTGAACTGAAGGCTCTTCTGGCCAGCAGAAAAACAAATTACTTTTCTGGAAAGAAAACTTAACGTGGGAGGTATAAAAAAAAATTTAAATTCAAGTTTTGTATAATTTGCAAGTGGAATAGGCACAGTGCTTTCAAAAGCATTCAAAGGGTTTCAAACCCAACTGTGTTCATTTTAAAACGGTAATAAGTTATGCCTTTGCGTGTAATTAAATACCTTAAGTATGTTAAGATCTGGTTTTCTGGTAACTTTATTTATAAATATACATTGTATCGTCGAGTAGAACTTAAGCAAACAATGCATCAATATGTCGATTTCGGGTCGTTTTCACGGATGGTTGACGACTCATTGTCATGAAAAATATCATGTTTGTTTATTATCCGTGACATCATTTATATTTGACCCTAAAAAATCTTTTCACTTCGTGCGGACCTGCAGATTTTATTTACATTTGATAAGCGCGGGAACAGTTCACTTTTCTTGTGATAAGACTGAAATGGAAAGTAGGCGCAAAGTGTTAAAACGTCTTGGATGAAGGGAGAGGTTAAACGTATTTCTTCCACTTTATTTTTGACACCTTTTCTATTTTCGCACGTACAACAAATGAGTCAAATGTGCGCATGCCAGAACGTGTTAAGTGTAACGTGGCGACGCGCAAAGTGGAAATATATAGACACTTGGTTTGTTTTACACGACGTTCGTGTTATGATACCTAGATATCAGCAGCGCTCTCATTATTGACATTATTTGGTACCCTGGTCAGGTCACTTTTAACTTAATATAAAATATGCCACAAAGAGTCCAATCTGAGTGCTGTCATTGCCATTTTAAGCCGGTTTTCTGATAAACTTAATTTAACTTTATGAATCTTTTTACGATTTTTTTGCTATGACCTGCAAGCAGACTCTAGTGTTTGAGTTTTGCACTCAAGCGCTGGTTTCTGGCTTTTCGCTTCAGCGCGCGAGCGAGTAGAAGAACGACGTGGGGGGGTGGGGGGGGG